AATATGCAGAAATGTCTGAATGCATGTTGACAAAGTGATAAGCATATGGTTTTGAACGAACTTCGCTTGGGTATTTTAGATATAAGTCGAGAAAGCTCATAGAAATTGTATTTAGTGTAATGTTCTTTTTTAGAAAATTACACGTGGATTACATGTGTGAAATACTTTGTAAATAAAAAACTACAGTTTAAATTAAAGCCAGTCATCATATGATGACAACGATATTGTCATCATGTAGCATTCTTGTTGCATTAGAACACCTGACTAAGCAATAAACAGGTAAGGTGGTTCTGAATGGAAAGGTCAATATGCACTCCTGACACCTCGGACAAAGGCCTTTGTAGCATTTGATGAAAAATTTGTGAGAAAGTTTTGGACAGACAAATGCAAGCATATTATTTAAACAGATTAGCACTAGAATTATCAAAATGAATAGCCAATCATGTTATTAATATTTATAGCAGATAATCACAACATATGATTTTTCTACTGTATAAGAAACATAAAATGAGAGAGAGATAAGAGAGGGATCAGGTAACTTAACAAACAAGCTATACTAGTTCTAAAACTAATTCATACTACAAACAAGTCATAATTATGATATTAAATATTTTGATTTTAATATAAATATTAAAAAATTATGCCTAAAAACATTTATTTTAGCAAACTATATACACCACAGTAATTTATATATATATGTATTACATGAATCTGAAACATGTCTATTTTTTAGTTTCTTATAATACTATTTATCAAGCAAATTTTCCATCCTATTATAAGCAACTAACTACTAAAACAACAAAATATCAAGTACTTATAAAAACTTTAAAGAAAAACTTGATATAAAATAATTGTTTTAATCCACAAAAAATTAACATTAAACTCTTAAATTAGGAAACAGTTTCAAGCTCATTTACTATACATTTTGCACATTGTCAGCAGCAAAGGCATGGGCTAAACCAGATGTAACAGTACTCTTTCCTACTCCTCCTTTTCCAGAAAGAATCAGGATGATGTGTTGAACAGACAATAATTTATGCTTCACTATTTCTATATCTGAAATAGGTATAAGTGTACATAAATATTTATACTAAAGAAAAAACAGCGTATTATAGGAGTAAATCATTTCATAAAAGTAAATTTAATTCTAATGTGAAACAAGGAAAGAAACTACGTAACATACAAAAACCTAAAGATTTTTTCTAACATAAGATAACTGTTTTAACTAAAATAATGCTTATCACAAGTAATAGTTCTATACATATATATGTGGAATACACCTTACTACTTGATAATGCAAATTTCATATCACACAATTTCTAAATGTTTTTAACCTCTACTTTGAGATATAATAAATCAAATAAAGTTGTGTGTTAATTCAACACAGGTGTTGCTTTCTATAGCAGGTTTCAGTCAAGAAAGCTATCTATCATTTCATATTTTGTACTCAATAAAGATACCATATGGAATTCTAAATGGTTTATACAAAATCTACAAGCACTATTATTCTGTGGAAATCCTTTTTTCAAACATTTTGTAAAAAATGAGCTTACAGCATTAAACACTAAATTTTTCAAGTTTTACAAGCTTAAGATTTAATGATAAAATTTACTGTCATAAATTAAATATGAAACCAATGTATACTAATTTATTTTTAGAACAAGGTAAAAATTGTTTGCTAGTTTAGTTGTTAAAAACCTAGATGAGTGAAAGACTGTCAGAGTGCAAGTAATTCAAATACTTCATCAAAAACTAGAACCTAACAATAACCAAGGTAATCTGGTAAAATTACTCACAAAGCTTTGTGAGAATGTTAGACAATTTAGTACAATGGTTCTCAAATGTGTCAGACTCACATACCACTTTTTGTTTAATTTTTTAAAATTACAAATCCATGCCTAATTAAAAAAATAAATAAAAACCTAGTAACAAAAATTCATATTTTAACACTTACCCATTAGTACAAAGGATGCAATTGTTTTCTTCTGGCATGATCAAAGAATATGTTGTACCATTTTTGCTAATTTTAAGGGAAGAAAATACTGGCGTGTCTATGCAAGTTGAGGGTGAGTGAGGAGAGTAGTATGTGGAAAGCTCAGATAGGGCTTATTATTTTTTATATTAATTGTGTCAGGTACCACCAACATTAGCTCCATGTACCATTAGTGGTGATGTGTCCCACAGTTTGAGAATCCCTGATTTAGTGCAAATGAATCATCAAGCAATTGTTTGAGCACAAGAATAAAATAAAACTTTGGAAATTTACCTGGGTCTGGTCCTTTTGCTTGACCTGATGCACAGATCTGTTGATTTGGGCACCCTTGACAAGGTGTAGCCTTCCCTGCAGCTTCACTCTGGGTGCCAGGGCATTCTGTCAATCACGGAAGTATGTTAATGTAATTTTTAACACACTTCTAAAAAACTAATTAAACAACATAAATAGTTCCCATTTAAATATTTATAAACTGAAAAGATATCATAGACTTTCTTGGCATTTTCTAAAATTCATAAATTTAATACACATTAAATTATAAATGTTTCACAACTATAAGTTTATTACTTCTTCTGTATAGCACTAAATATCAAGAATGACACCAATTAAAATTGCCTTAAAGTTTCAAATTCATAGGCACAGCTATTTTTAATACAAAACTAAAAGGTTTTGAGATTTTTAAATTGAAAAGTTTTAATATTAGTATATGTTTAGACTAACTAAAAAATATCTGATTATAAAACAGAGGAGTACAATGTACCAAACATATTCCAAAAACACTTGCTGTGTGTTATTTCAACTTTCTAATACATTACAATCATGTCCTTTAAAGTAAACTAAAATGCAGCACTATACAAAATACATGTAACCATGTTGTACCTGTATGCCAACTTTTTCATATGTAATAAATCTCTACATGTATACACTTCACTGTATCAGTACCCAAACACAGTTAACAGAATATGAAATAAGATGGTAACATCTAACAAGCCAAATGGTATACCTTGTTTGTTGCATCCAAGTGCAAAACTGCATATTTGAAAACTATGAAAATATACATGCACCTGACTGCTTATTAATGACAATCTTTGATTCCTTAGGATTTTTCCAAGTGTTAATAGACTTTTAAAAAATAACAGTTAAAAGATCTTACTAACTCACTCCTGAGCTTCTTCAAGGTACTAGGATGAATTTTGTCCTGACAGCTTTACTAACACAATATTCCTCAAGCTTTTTCATACCAACTTCATTTTTTTTTAAAAGATGAAGAGTTAAAGGAAAACAAAAAGCACATCAACGAGATAAGAAGATCTGTGTTTTGAAAAAATAGTTTTCTGGTAATAGGCATATACTTGATGTGGTATGTATTGTTAGCTCAAACCTTTTTAAACTTCTTTTGAATTGGCGTATAAAAGTTAAGAGCTACATATGATTTGGATTTAATGTTTCTGTCATGTGCTTTTTACACAAGAACACAAGAAAAGGCAAGATTTATAGAAGGCCATTTGTATATTCAAGATCATCCATAAGCTAAAAGAAAGGTGAGAGGTGATCTTATTGAACCAAATGAACTTCTGTAACCTTGAGTTTTGGTAAATTATTTTTAAATATGGAGCATTACTATTGATGTTGTGTAAGTCAGCCAAAAATTATTTGGCACAGTGTAAATCAGAAACATTGATACCTCATCACTAAACTCAAAGTTATTTTTTAAGTACAAAAATCTGGTACTGATAAACTGTGGTAAATTCTTTGGATATTTTTCTTGCACTTAGAATTTATTATAATTAGGTTTATGTTAGTCAGTTACATGATCAATGATGTGTATAAAATGGACATAACACTATCTTCACTTTACTAGTAAAATCTTAGACTTGGGCAGTCCAACAGTTACTTTGTAGACTGCAAGATATAAACTTTATCATTTAGACATGTACTTTTGTTCTCAGTCTAACAAACTGCTTTAAAATTTATCATTGGACAATTCCATTTACTCTTCTTTAATTTGTAAAATAATGTTTGGCTTGCCATATTAAGTTAGCAAATTATGTCCATGATATTAACTTTAATTTCATAGTCATGAAATTATATTATTATTAATCTGAATAATCATGCCTCTGATGTTTTGGTAAACTATAAATTTATTGTACTTATAATGATATATTTAAAAAGAATAAAATGTGAAACCTTTTAAAAGTGTGGCTAATAGTAATAAATAATTACAAGTGCATGTGATACCTAACCATAACACTTAGCAACATCCAGTAAATATGTTAGCAAGTACTAAGCTACTACTCAGAGTAATATGTTTATATTATTATCAATAGTTTAATTTCTCATTAGTAATAGTAGTATTACACAGTGCTACTACTACTGGTATTAGTACGAATCATGATTTAGCTTATCGTAAAATGTTATATTCATTAACACTCAGAATAAGATCTAAAGTTGTATGTTAATTCAAAATTACTATTTGGCATCACCTTTGAAGCGAACCTTTAAAATAACTCCTCCATTCAAAAACTTGAACGAAATTTCTTACCTCCCGGAGCATTTTCAGGTCTGTCGGCCATATCTGAAAGTATGCGCGCACCCCGACTATGGCGCTGTTTTCAAACTAAGGTCTATCTTCGATGACGAGAAACCCACTTTGAGATTAATAATGCTTGGAGACGGCTTGAATGGGTAATAAAGAAAAAATTTAATGCAAGTTTAACATAACAGCAAATGTACAACGTTTCGACAAGGTTTTGTCAACATTTGCTGTTATGTTAAACTTATATTAAAGTTTTTCTTTATTATCCATTCAAGC